CCTCACTCACACCTCAACTCTTTTCCCCTCTCCCTCCCTTCATCTTGTATGCTGTCCTCCCTCCTCTCCCCCCTCCCTTCCCATCCTGTGTTGAGTGTATGTGACAGGATTGACTTCCCTGAAATCTGACTATCTGTCATGTCATTGTTTGTGATAACCTGTTCACCCGTCCAAAATTCACCAGTGTCTACACAGATCAATAAAAAACAAATTGAGTCTTCTGGGAGATTTAATGGAGAATTAGGGAGTTAACCATGGGCAATGCAACCCATAATCTCAGGCAACAAAGAAGATTCCCTTCTATACAGGAAAGAATGATCTCCGTGGATGTGAGGGCAAGCAGCTTTGGAATTTGTACGTGACCTTCTTCAGTGTTTCCGTCTGGTTACGATCATTAGAACTGTTAATTGGTCAGGATGATTAACAGTGCAAATCGTTTTCCCCACGTCACTGTATTCCCAGGGGTCACCTCTAAATCTCCTGATTTAGCAAGATGTCCAAGTGAAGTATTAGTTAGCTTTCTGACAATTACCACAAACTGTTGTCAATAGTCTTCATTGTAGACCTTAACATATTGTCAAAGGGATAAACCTAGCTACCAACATCTCCAGTTCTATGAACGTCACAGCTGGTGAAACGATGAAGAGTGAATCCTTAGGGACCATGTATTGTGTTATCCACTGAATATTAACCCATGTAATATGACCTATCAGCCCAGTGATTGGTTGTAAATTTCAATTGTTTCAATTGTGACGTCACGCCTAGGACAAGTACATGACGTCACAGACTCACACACTGGTGTCAAAAGGGCGGCTTTTTACATTTCAAGAGTTTCATGAAAATTGTTTTACACCAATAAATGCCACAAATCTTGATTATGTGATAAAAAGGAATTCGTTTTTATTTCATATGAAATTTATGAAACTTGTCACAAATTTAGACTCTTTTCATAAATCTCATATGAAATGGAAACTCATGTAAGATACTTATATATAATCATTTCATTGTTTAATATAGAAAATAATTTCTTGAACCATGGTGATATGAGCTAAGAGGTCTTTATAGCGTGGTCTGAAGATGTAAATTGATATAAATCTGCATTAGGATCATCAGTCTTTAAGCTGAAGTTAGAAAAAAAGGAATAAAAAATGAAAAAAAGAAAGGTAATAGATACACAAGGATTTTCCAAGTAATCTCCAACAGAAATTGATAAAATGACAATTCCTCTACAGAAGCAGTAATAACTGGGTTTTAAAGTGTAATTATAAGCAGGTCAGGTTGTTGATGAGGTTTTTCTTGATTAAGGTACCTTGGCTTCCCATAAAGCCCCTCTAAGACATTGTTAGTCCTTCGTACAGTTGTCTTATGTCATCCTGTGAAATGTTACGGTAAACCTTCAATATCACGTAGGCTACAAACAATCACCATCGAACGGCTGCAGTGTCTCGCTGTAAATGAAACCCAGCAGTTTTTACTCCAAATCTCAAACTTCTCCAATCATATATGGAGTGCTTTTTAGTTATTTCTCAAATCAGATGTTTTTGGCGATCATTTTACTAAGAAAAGTTAACCAAGGGTGTTAGCGATGATTTTGTGTTGATAGATCATTAATCGCTGGATAGTAAACACTCGAGGGGCAGTTTATTCTTGTCACAAGCTTAAGTCTCGTAATTCTCAATAGACCGGCGCAGCTATGAGGCGTTTTCCATGTTACAGAGTGTGGTCTTGGGAAAAGCCAGATTCAAATCGTCATGGAAACACTTCGGTGGATTTCAGATGTATCTGCTGCTATTTGCAGCTTCTGTGACCACTTCGGTACTTAACGATGGACATAATCAGAGTTTATTTTTCAAATATTTTACAATGTCAAGAAAATTGATCACTGCATTTTTTCTCTCACTAGCAGATATTGGAGTGTGACTGAGCTGTAGTAAATTTACTGAGAAATAAGAAGCATCCGTTATATGAGAGCTTGTTATAGCTAGGTTTACAAGACACATACCATCATTGTATGAGAACTTGTTTTAGGTTTACAAGACACATACCATCATTGTATGAGAGCTTGTTTTAGGTTTACTAGACTCATACCCTCATTGTATGAGAGCTTGTTTTAGGTTTACAAGACACATGCCATCATTGTATGAGAGCTTGTTTTAGGTTTACTAGACTCATACCATCATTGTATGAGAGCTTGTTTTAGGTCCACTAGACACATACTATCATTGTATGAGAGCTTGTTTTAGGTTTACAAGACACATGCCATCATTGTATGAGAGCTTGTTTTAGGTTTACTAGACTCATACACTCATTGTATGAGAGCTTGTTTTAGGTTTACAAGACACGTACCATCATTGTATGAGAGCTTGTTTTAGGTTAACAAGACACGTACCATCATTGTATGAGAACTTGTTTTACGTCCACTAGACACGTACCATCATTGTATGAGAGCTTGTTTTAGGTTAACAAGACACGTACCATCATTGTATGAGAGCTTGTTTTAGGTTTACAAGACACATTCCATCATTGTATGAGAGCTTGTTTTAGGTCCACTAGACACATACTATCATTGTATGAGAGCTTGTTTTAGGTTTACAAGACACATACCTTCATTGTATGAGAGCTTGTTTTAGGTTTACAAGACACATACCATCATTGTATTAGAGCTTGTTTTAGGTCCACTAGACACATACTATCATTGTATGAGAGCTTGTTTTAGGTTTACTAGACTCATACCATCATTGTATGAGAGCTTGTTTTAGGTTTACAAGACACATGCCATCATTGTATGAGAGCTTGTTTTAGGTTTACAAGACACATACCTTCATTGTATGAGAGCTTGTTTTAGGTTTACAAGACACATTCCATCATTGTATGAGAGCTTGTTTTAGGTCCACTAGACACATACTATCATTGTATGAGAGCTTGTTTTAGGTTTACTAGACTCATACCCTCATTGTATGAGAGCTTGTTTTAGGTTTACAAGACACATACCTTCATTGTATGAGAGCTTGTTTTAGGTTTACAAGACGCATACCATCATTGTATGAGAGCTTGTTTTAGGTCCACTAGACACTTACCATCATTGTATGAGAGCTTGTTTTAGGTTTACAAGACACATGCCATCATTGTATGAGAGCTTGTTTTAGGTTTACAAGACACATACCTTCATTGTATGAGAGCTTGTTTTAGGTTTACAAGACACATACCTTCATTGTATGAGAGCTTGTTTTAGGTTTACAAGACACATTCCATCATTGTATGAGAGCTTGTTTTAGGTCCACTAGACACATACTATCATTGTATGAGAGCTTGTTTTAGGTTTACTAGACTCATACACTCATTGTATGAGAGCTTATTTTAGGTTTACAAGACACATACCATCATTGTATTAGAGCTTGTTTTAGGTCCACTAGACACATACTATCATTGTATGAGAGCTTGTTTTAGGTTTACTAGACTCATACACTCATTGTATGAGAGCTTGTTTTAGGTTTACAAGACACATACCATCATTGTATGAGAGCTTGTTTTAGGTTTACAAGACACATACCATCATTGTATGAGAGCTTGTTTTAGGTTTACAAGACACATACCATCATTGTATGAGAGCTTGTTTTAGGTTTACAAGACACATACCATCATTGTATGAGAGCTTGTTTTAGGTTTACAAGACACATACCATCATTGTATGAGAGCTTGTTTTAGGTTTACAAGACACATACCATCATTGTATGAGAGCTTGTTTTAGGTTTACAAGACACATACCATCATTGTATGAGAGCTTGTTTTAGGTTTACTAGACACATACCATCATTGTATGAGAGCTTGTTTTAGGTCCACTAGACACATACTATCATTGTATGAGAGCTTGTTTTAGGTTTACAAGACACATACCATCATTGTATGAGAGCTTGTTTTAGGTTTACTAGACTCATACCATCATTGTATGAGAGCTTGTTTTAGGTTTACAAGACACATACCATCATTGTATGAGAGCTTGTTTTAGGTTTACAAGACACATACCATCATTGTATGAGAGCTTGTTTTAGGTTTACAAGACACATACCATCATTGTATGAGAGCTTGTTTTAGGTTTACAAGACACATACCATCATTGTATGAGAGCTTGTTTTAGGTTTACAAGAAACATACCATCATTGTATGAGAGCTTGTTTTAGGTCCACTAGACACATACCATCATTGTATGAGAACTTGTTTTAGATTTACAAGACACGTACTATCATTGTATGAGAGCTTGTTTTAGATTTACAAGACATGTACTATCATTGTATGAGAGCTTGTTTAAGGTTTACTTAATTATATATATAGACACATACCATCATTGTATGAGAACTTGTTTTAGATTTACAAGACACGTACTATCATTGTATGAGAGCTTGTTTTAGATTTACAAGACACATACTATCATTGTATGAGAGCTTGTTTTAGGTTTACTTAATTATATATATAGACACATACCATCATTGTATGAGAACTTGTTTTAGGTCCACAAGACACGTACCATCATTGTATGAGAGCTTGTTTTAGGTCCACTAGACACATACCATCATTGTATGAGAGCTTGTTTTAGGTTTACAAGACACATACTATCATTGTATGAGAGCTTGTTTTAGGTTTACTAGACACATACCATCATTGTATAAGAACTGGTTTTAGGTTTACTAGACACATACCATCATTGTTTAAGAACTGGTTTTACTACTACCTCATCAATGATTATATTTTGTTCTTTTCACCATTGAAATTTCTCATAAAAGACCTTCAAGTAATGGAACTTTTCATAAATGGTTTATCAAAGCTTTAGTCACGCCTGAAAGCTTTAGTCACGCCTGAAAGCTTTAGTCATGCCTGAAAGCTTTAGTAACACCTGAAAGCTTTAGTCACGCCTGAAAGCTTTAGTCATGCCTGAAAGCTTTAGTCATGCCTGAAAGCTTTAGTCACGCCTGAAAGCTTTAGTCACGCCTGAAAGCTTTAGTCACGCCTGAAAGCTTTAGTCACGCCTGAAAGCTTTAGTCACGCCTGAAAGCTTTAGTCACGCCTGAAAGCTTTAGTCACGCCTGAAAGCTTTAGTCACGCCTGAAAGCTTTAGTCACGCCTGAAAGCTTTAGTCACGCCTGAAAGCTTTAGTCACGCCTGAAAGCTTTAGTCACGCCTGAAAGCTTTAGTCACGCCTGAAAGCTTTAGTCACGCCTGAAAGCTTTAGTCACGCCTGAAAGCTTTAGTCACGCCTGAAAGCTTTAGTCACGCCTGAAAGCTTTAGTCACGCCTGAAAGCTTTAGTCACGCCTGAAAGCTTTAGTCACGCCTGAAAGCTTTAGTCACGCCTGAAAGCTTTAGTCACGCCTGAAAGCTTTAGTCACGCCTGAAAGCTTTAGTCACGCCTGAAAGCTTTAGTCACGCCTGAAAGCTTTAGTCACGCCTGAAAGCTTTAGTCACGCCTGAAAGCTTTAGTCACGCCTGAAAGCTTTAGTCACGCCTGAAAGCTTTAGTCACGCCTGAAAGCTTTAGTCACGCCTGAAAGCTTTAGTCACGCCTGAAAGCTTTAGTCACGCCTGAAAGCTTTAGTCACGCCTGAAAGCTTTAGTCACGCCTGAAAGCTTTAGTCACGCCTGAAAGCTTTAGTCATGCCTGAAAGCTTTAGTCATGCCTGAAAGCTTTAGTCACGCCTGAAAGCTTTAGTCACGCCTGAAAGGACTGTTTCCAATGCTCAGTTACAGGTTTTGGCAGTGGTACCGGCATCCTTAATACTTTTGTAAAATTTACATATGCCATGAATTCTGTAATAAAACATCATGATTCAGTTAACATATACAGTGTGGTATACTGTAAGTGTGGGCAAACCAACAACCTTCTCACTTTCATTGACAGGTAAATTAATAAAAAAAAAAATGTTTAAAAAAAAAAAAAAAAAAAGTTTAAAAAAAAAAAAAAAAAAAGGAAAGTAACTTTAATCTTAAAAAGGCATCTTACAAAGATGACAAGCATTTTACCAAGCTTTGTTATCAACACAAACAAAAGATCTTGTTGATTATTTCCTGTACGTTATCTTTTTAGATGTAAATCCCTTCAGTACCAGGAGAAGCTGCCAGATACCAGTGTTGTGGTGTGTTTCCATAACGAGGCTTGGACAGTCCTGCTCAGAACCGTTCACAGTATTATTGACCGATCTCCGCCTCATTTACTCCGAGAAGTTGTCCTCGTAGATGACTTCTCAGATATGGGTCAGTATAATTTGAATAAACTTTCTAAAAAACCTTCAACAGTTTTATCCACATTAATATTGTATTTAAAAAGCAGCAATCAAACTTCATAATATAAGTTTCAAAATTGCTATTTTTGTAAGAAGATGAAAATTAACAAAAAAATGAACAAATCATAAATATTATTTAAGTAACATTTCACAGACAGAAAAAAAAACAACTTATCTGAGCATATAAGATATGTGACAGTTATCTAAATAAAATAGATGTGATGAAAATCAAATATGAAAGATGAAGTCAATAAAAAAGGCAGATGAGGTTTGTGGGTTTGGTCAGATTTCGGGTGATAGTTTATGTATCACTAAGACAAGATCTGCCGAGGAGGCACCGGGTTAATGTGAGCCATCAATTGTGGAGAATTGTAGACTGCTTTGTCAGCTCCTGATGGATGGGGCTTGGACAGAATTTCATTTACTGGGGGAGATAAGATGAAGGAGCGCCATTTTAAACGGTTTACATCCACCACCCAGGGGAGACAACCATATGCTGTTTTGCAGATTATGCCACAAGAGAGAAAGCGTCATGTGACCTCCCATGTCTTATCTTAATCACAGTGCTCCTGTCTCGGTGACAAACAACAGGAGCTGGCTGGGAGATGTTAATGTTGCAGTGTTTTTTTATTGGAAAGAATTTGTTATTGAGAGAACTTTCTCAAAAGTCATTTATTTCAAGCTTGTTAAGAGTGATTTTCTATGAAATCAAATATTTGTAGAGATTTATGACATTTTATCAGCGAAAATATGGCTAGTATTCTGTGGGTATTTATCTTAAAAAAAAGATAGATAAATCTTTATTCAAAATTGTTTTTCACTTTTAGTCTGGTGTAGTAATTTTCTAAATTCTGAAAAAAGAAATCAAATATTCTTATTGAAGATTTCGGAATTGTATGCGAAGGTTTGAGTACGGGTAGAAAGACATCACACTGACATTCTACTGATCCTTCAAACACCAGCATGCCCTCAGATGATTTGCCTACATATATTCTATGTCTAATAAAACCTTAACCATTCTGTACTGACTATCATGAAGCAGAGATTGCATTTCCAATAAACTTAAATGAAAATACGTTCCTGATAGGAAACTCCCTGTAGATCGGCTGTGATGGATGTTGTAAGCCTTCCCTTTGAATATCTCAATCTCAATAATAACCTGGCTACTTTTGGTTCCCTGTCCTGTAATCTGTGTGTTTCACTTCCTCTGTGTTATTCATATGCTTGTTCTCAAACTAAAGATCAAAGAAGCTGTATTCCTGCTAAACTCTCTAGTGACACTGATTATCAAGCCTATGTTACATTCATGCAGGAATATAGCATTTTTTTCTGAACTAATATATATTTGTATGAGATTGAAGAAATTTTAAAGCTAGCCCATAGCTTATGGTGAAGGAGGGAAATACATTGAGATCATCATTCCTTTATTTAGTAATTATACTCCACAGGGAGTATCACAAAATATTCAGCGGTATACAGGATATGTGAAAAACATCACACAAACACACACACCATATTACAACAGAGAACAGACACAAGTAATCAAACTTTCAATCCAAATTTTATGTGAAAAGTAGCAAGCCTGCATGCAGTCAGAATCTAGTATCGGGGGAGAGCCCATAGCTGTGTTAAGTGGTCCTGTCTTCAGAGGTAGTCTCTATAGACAGTTTGGTAAATTCATATATGATAAATGTATTTTTGCAAACATGATTTTGAAATCATTAGTCCAAAACTTCAATAAACATTTTTCAAGCAGTTTTGATATTCACCAAATAAATGTAACAGATATCGCTAGCATGTTGTGATGAGAAAAACATACTGTAACCATGGGAACACTTGTGTCACCATGGCGCCTGAATGTTGATCCCTTCTTTGGCAAACTCGTTACTAGTTAAGAATTCAGATACTTTTTTTTTGAGAACACAAACATCTTTGTAGCATCAAATTTTTATGTAATTGTTTAAATCGAAAAGGTTTTGTGGAAGAGTGGTCACAGAGGTAAAATAAATTGGCTTTCAAATTAATCACTATTAATATATCAATATCCACTGCATGTTTACAATAATCTTACATTGCCGCATAAAATCTGGAAAACTTGATGAGTTTTGTCTTTTCTTCCCCTTGCTGGTCCCCAACACAAATTGGTGAATAAAACTATCTTGATTTGTTGCATATAGCCGTTGAACTCCCGGGAGGAATTGTTTTTATTGTATCCCTGGGTTGTAGAGCTCAGCTTGGTGAGGAATGAAGAACAAGCCTTATAAGCCATCTTTATATCTCAATCTCAGTTGATGTGGTAAAATGATAGGATCAATGTAGGTTTACAAACTTAAACCATGTATAAAGTCACAGCCAAGTCATAAAGGACTTCCTGTATAAAGTCACAGCCAAGTCATAAAGGACTTCCTGTGTAAAGTCACAGCCAAGTCATAAAGGACTTCCTTTATAAAGTCACAGCCAAGTCATAAAGGACTTCATGTATAAAGTCACAGACAAGTGATAAAGGACATCCTGTATAAAGCCACAGCCAAGTCATAAAGGACTTCCTGTGTAAAGTCACAGCCAAGTCATAAAAGACTTCATGTATAAAGTCACAGTCAAGTCATAAAAGACTTCCTGTATAAAGTCACGGCCAAGTCATAAAGGACTTCCTGTGTAAAGTCACAGCCAAGTCATAAAGGACTTCATGTATAAAGTCACAGACAAGTGATAAAGGACATCCTGTATAAAGTCACAGCCAAGTCATAAAGGACTTCCTGTATAAAGTCACAGCAAAGTCATAAAGGACTTCATGTATAAAGTCACAGTCAAGTCATAAAAGACTTCCTGTATAAAGTCACAGCCAAGTCATAAAGGACTTCCTGTGTAAAGTCACAGCCAAGTCATAAAGGACTTCCTGTATAAAGTCATAGCCAAGTCATATAGGACTTCCTGTATAAAGTCACAGCCAAGTCATAAAAGACTTTCTGTATAAAGACACAGCTAAGTCATAAAAGACTTCCTGTATAAAGTCACAGCCAAGTCATAAAGGACTTCCTGTATAAAGTCATAGCCAAGTCATAAAGGACTTCCTGTATAAAGTCCCAGCCAAGTCATAAAGGACTTCCTGTATAAAGACAAAGCCAAGTCATAAAGGACTTCCTGTATAAAGTCACAGCCAAGTCATAAAGGACTTCATGGTTAAAGTCACAGCCAAGTCATAAAAGACTTCCTGTGTAAAGTCACAGCCAAGTCATAAAAGACTTCCTGTATAAAGTCACAGCCAAGTCATAAAGGACTTCCTGTATAAAGACACAGCCAAGGCATAAAAGACTTCCTGTATAAAGTCACAGCCAAGTCATAAAAGACTTCCTGTATAAAGTCACTGCCAAGTCATAAAGGACTTCCTGTATAAAGACACAGCCAATTCATGAAGGACTTCCTGTATAAAGTCACAGCCAAGTCATAAAGGACTTCCTGTATAAAGTCACAGCCAAGTCACAAAGGACTTCCTGTGTAAAGTCACAGTCAAGGCATAAAGGACTTCCTGTTTAAAGACACAGACAAGTCATAAAAGACTTCCTGTATAAAGACACAGCCAAAGACACAGCCAAGGCATAAAAGACTTCCTGTATAAAGTCACAGCCAAGTCATAAAGGACTTCCTGTATAAAGTCACAGCCAAGTCATAAAGGACTTCCTGTATAAAGACACAGCCAAGTCATAAAGGACTTACTGTATAAAGTCACAGCAAAGTCATAAAGGACTTCCTGTATAAAGTCACAGCCAAGTCATATAGGACTTCATGTATAAAGTCACAGCCAAGTCATAAAGGACTTCCTGTGTAAAGTCACAGCCAAGTCATAAAGGACTTCCTGTATAAAGTCACAGCCAAGTCATAAAGGACTTCCTGTATAAAGACACAGCCAAGTCATATAGGACTTCCTGTATAAAGGCATACTAGCCTAGAATAGATGTAAAGGACAGATTTTCATCATAGGTTTTAGCCTTAGTGTCTCCAAATCCTTAAGTGTAGGTTGGTCCTGTAAAATTAGAGTGTTGTAAGCTGCAGCATTATCTTAATGTTCTGATTTAGTAAAACAAGCGACCAGAATGATAATCTAATGCATGGCTATTAGCATGAAGATTTTCTTACAATGAAGAGGAAGTGCTACTAACAGAAACACTTCCAACTTTTAACTCGGTGACATGTATATCCACTTACATTTGTTCAGCTTGTATAAGTTTAATAGCTCTGGTAATGAATTTTAATGGATTTTTTCTCTTTTTTACAGATCATCTGAAAGAGCCTTTAGAAACATACATGGCAAAATTAGGCAAAGTGAAAGTAGTACGGACTAAAAAGCGAGAAGGATTAATTCGAGCACGGTTGCTAGGATATTCTGCATCATCTGGAGACGTTCTGACGTACCTGGACTCACACTGTGAATGCACTGAAGGTGGGACACTATGTAATTCTGTTTGTGAAGCCTTAAAAGAAAGCAATTAAGTGTTATCAAATGATAGATAAGCTTGATATTAGGTTATCTTGATATCTTACCTAGGACATCACCTGTTTACAGGTTTTGTCTATATAACATAGATGAACATTTTCAGTGTTTTGGCTGATTTCAGCCTTTTTCATAATTTTGGTGAAATGTAAACTTTAAATTTTTCCCAAAGAAAGGATCAAAAATCTAAATTTTCGCCATTTTGCCCGTGAGCCAATTTTCATCTCTGATATATGGTAATCATTATCATATCCTACAGGTAATCCCTGTATAAGTTAATTACCACTACAGGTAGCTCAGTCAGCTACAGCGTACTGTGCCTAGGGTAGGGTTTGGAGGTTACACGTGTGAACCCTGGTAGGGTCATTTGCATTTTCCCTCACCTTTAACAGTGGTGCTTGTGACCAACTTTTGATTCAAGTACTGTATTTGCATTTGGCGAGGGGATACCCAAATCTAGGTAGTAAATAGACTGTTGTCTCCGAGGGCAAAGTCTTAAAAAGACCTAGTCTGGCCCATTTTATATTCCCTCGCTCTTACATAAATACAGTCATATATATATGCTGCACTTGTTCGACTTATCAGAATAACACTATTACAACTGGCTCTGTTCTCTTGTTTTTCTTGATTAATATAAGAAATTTATAATTTATAGCTTTATTATTACTGACCATGTAATAAGTGACCGCTACTGACCATTTCTCTTTACCTCTGTAGGATGGTTGGAGCCCTTGTTAGACAGAATTGCAACAAACAATTCTATAGTCGTCTGTCCCGTCATCGATGTCATTGAAGATGACTCATTCAAATATCAATACGGCAGTGCCAAAAGTACCAGCATCGGGGGCTTTGATTGGAACCTTCAGTTTAACTGGCATGCCATCCCAGAATACGAGCGCCAGCGACGACAAAACAAGGATTACTTGCCAGTCAGGTACATGGTCTCCATAACAACAAAGGAATGTTCTGTTGTCAACATGTTCTCGACATGATAAAATCTATCTAATCCACTGCCTAAAAATACTTCAAAATACTATTCAGTTTTGGTTGACGGTCTGTCAGTGATATCTTTATTAAAGCTTCACCATAATTGTTTGCAGAAAAGTCACAAGTCTAATGTCACCTACAACAGAGATATGAGTATATATGTATGTTAATAGAAATAACACCACCTACGAGAGAGGTACTAACAGGAACATTTTATTTGGTGAGAACAAATTAGAAATATGACAAAAATGCTGTTATTTCAGAAAGGTTTTTTCTTATCTCTACAATATTAAATCAAGCTGAAGTGACGTTATATTTTTAATCTGATCGGTTTCTTGATGTAGAAATCTCTAGTGTACCAATTAGCTGTCATAGACTTGGTTGTGCNCCCCCCCCATCCTTAATCTGACTGCACCCCTCCCTGATCAGGCAATTATAGACAAGATGGGTACAAAGCATTTTGATTGAGCATTGTTAGTGAGAGCTGTGTGACTTAATTAGCGCCAACAGAAACTGAAAAACTCCCCTACCAATTTGACTACGATGAGAAAACGATAATTGTGTTAAAAAAGTGTTGAATATTTGAAATTACGTCATTCAAGGAAGAAAATGAAGTAGAAAATTAGGAATGTTCTTCAGAATTTGTGAAATTATGTCACAAGCAGTAAAGAAACTGAAATACAAAATTAACAACCTACAGAAGTAGGAATTACTCAACAGTTCAGCGAATCGTAATGGAGTTAGAATTTCAAATTACACATAAAAGATTGAAGCATTTGGAGTATGATCAGGGCAAAGTGGTCTTTATAGTTCTAGCGTAAAATTGAAGGGTTCTTTTTTGACACTCATCTCTCTGTTCTACATTCACCCAAAACATGTGGAAATTATATGTCTCTACCAGGCCAGAACTTGTAGATGATAGTCTCATTCTCTCCTTGCAAGAGCATGTGATGATAGTGTCATTCTCATTCGTTCTAAACTCAGCTAGAGCTTGTGATGGTAGTCTTGTTCTCTCCTGGGTAGAGCTTGTGATGGTAGTCTTGTTCTCTCCTGGCTAGAGCTTGTGATGGTAGTCTTGTTCTCTCCTGGGTAGAGCTTGTGATAGTAGTCTTGTTCTCTCCTGGGTAGAGCTTGTGGTGGTAGTCTTGTTCTCTCCTGGGTAGAGCTTGTGATGGTAGTCTTGTTCTCTTCTGGCTAGAGCTTGTGATGATAGTCTCGTTCTCTCCTGGCTAGAGCTTGTGATGGTAGTCTTGTTCTGCTTGTGATGGTAGTCTTGTTCTCTCCTGGGTAGGGCTTGTGATGGTAGTCTTGTTCTCTCCTTGGTAGAGCTTGTGATGGTAGTCTTCTTCTCTCCTGGGTAGAGCTTGTGATAATAGTCGTGTTCTCTTCTGGCTAGAGCTTGTGATGATAGTCTTGTTCTCTCCTGGCTAGAGCTTGTGATGGTTGTCTTGTTCTCTCCTGGGTAGAGCTTGGGATGGTAGTCTTGTTCTCTCCTGGCTAGAGCTTGTGATAGTAGTCTTGTTCTCTCCTGGTTAGAGCTTGTGGTGGTAGTCTTGTTCTCTCCTGGGTAGGGCTTGTGATGGTAGTCTTGTTCTGTCCTGGGTAGAGGTTGTGATGGTAGTCTTGTTCTCTCCTCGGTAGAACTTGTGATGGTAGTCTTGTTCTCTCCTGGCTAGAACTTGTGATGGTAGTCTTGTTCTTTCCTGGGTAGATCTTGTGATGGTAGTCTTGTTCTGCTTGTGATGGTAGTCTTGTTCTCTCCTGGGTAGAGCTTGTGATAATAGTCTTGTTCTCTTCTGGCTAGAGCTTGTGATGATAGTCTTGTTCTCTCCTGGCTAGAGCTTGTGATGGTAGTCTCATTCACTCCTGGGTAGAGCTTGTGATGGTAGTCTTGTTCTTTCCTGGGTAGAGCTTGTGATGGAAGTCTTGTTCTCTCCTGGGTAGAGCTTGTGATGATAGTCTTGTTCTCTCCTGGCTAGAGCTTGTGATGGTAGTCTTGTTCTTTCCTGGGTAGAGCTTGTGATGGTAGTCTTGTTCTCTCCTGGCTAGAGCTTGTGATGGTTGTCTTGTTCTCTCCTGGGTAGAGCTTGTGATAATAGTCTTGTTCTCTTCTGGCTAGAGCTTGTGATGGTAGTCTTGTTCTCTCCTGGGTAGAACTTGTGATGGTAGTCTTGTTCTCTCCTGGGGAGAACTTGTGATGGTAGTCTTGTTCTCTCCTGGGTAGAGCTTGTGATGCTAGTCTTGTTCTCTCCTGGGTAGAGCTTGTGATGCTAGTCTTGTTCTCTCCTGGGTAGAGCTTGTGATAGTAGTCTTGTTCTCTCCTGGGTAGAGCTTGTGATGCTAGTCTTGTTCTCTCCTGGGTAGAGCTTGTGATAGTAGTCTTGTTCTCTCCTGGGTAGAACTTTTGATGGTAGTCTTGTTCTCTCCTGGGTAGAGCTTGTGATGGTAGTCTTGTTCTCTCCTGGGTAGAGCTTGTGATGGTATTCTTGTTCTCTCCTGGGGAGAACTTGTGATGGTAGTCTTGTTCTCTCCTGGGTAGAACTTGTGATGGTAGTCTTGTTCTCTCCTGGCTAGAGCTTGTGATGGTAGTCTCGTTCTCTCCTGGGTAGAACTTGTGATGGTAGTCTCGTTTTCTCCTGGCTAGAGCTTGTGATGGTAGTCTTGTTCTTTCCTTGGTAGAGCTTGTGATAGTAGTCTTGTTCTCTCCTGGGTAGAGCTTGTGATGATAGTCTTGTTCTCTCCTGGGTAGAGCTTGTGATGGTATTCTTGTTCTCTCCTGGGGAGAACTTGTGATGGTAGTCTTGTTCTCTCCTGAGTAGAGCTTGTGATAGTAGTCTTGTTCTCCCCTGGCTAGAGCTTGTGATGGTAGTCTCATTCTCTCCTGGCTAGAGCTTGTGATAGTAGTCTTGTTCTCTCCTGGGTAGAACTTGGGATGGTAGTCTTGTTCTCTCCTGGGTAGATCTTGTGATGGTAGTCTTGTTCTCTCCTGGCTTGAGCTTGTGATGGTAGTCTCGTTCTCTCCTGGCTAGAGCTGTTGTTGGTAGTCTTGTTCTCTCCTGGCTAGAACTTGCGATGGTAGTCTTGTTCTCTCCTGGGTAGATCTTGTGATGGTAGTCTTGTTCTCTCCTGTGTAGAGCTTGTGATGGTAGTCTTGTTCTGCTTGTGATGGTCGTCTTGTTCTCTTCTGGCTAGAGCTTGTGATGGTAGTCTCGTTCACTCTTGGGTAGCGCTTGTGATGGAAGTCTCGTTCACTCCTGGCTTGAGCTTGTGATGGTAGTCTTGTTCTCTTCTGGAGAGAGCTTGTGATGATAGTCTTGTTCTCTTCTGGGTAGATCTTGTGATGATAGTCTTGTTCTCTCCTGTCTAGAGCTTGTGATGGTAGTCTTGTTCTGCTTGTGATGGTAGTCTTGTTCTCTTCTGGAGAGAGCTTGTGATGATAGTCTTGTTCTCTCCTGGCTAGAGCTTGGGATGGTAGTCTTGTTCTCTCCTGGGTACAGCTTGTGATGGTAGTCTTGTTCTCTCCTGGGTTGATGGTAGTCTTGTTCTTTCCTGGGTAGAACTTGTGATGGTAGTCTTGTTCTTTCCTGGGGAGAGCTTGTGATGGTAGTCTTGTTCTCTTCTGGAGAGAGCTTGTGATGATAGTCTTGTTCTCTCCTGTCTAGAGCTTGTGATGGTAGTCTTGTTCACTCTTGGGTAGAGCTTGTGATGGTAGTCTCGTTCACTCTTGGGTAGAGCTTGTGATGGTAGTCTCGTTCTCTCTTGGGTAGAGCTTGTGATGGAAGTCTCGTTCTCTCCTGGCTTGAGCTTGTGATGGTAGTCTTGCTCTCTCCTGGCTAGAGCTTGTGATGGTAATCTTGTTCTCTCCTGGCTAGAGCTTGTGATGGTAGTCTCGTTCACTCTTGGGTAGCGCTTGTGATGGAAGTCTCGTTCACTCCTGGCTTGAGCTTTTGATGGTAGTCTTGTTCTCTCCTGGCTTGAGCTTGTGATAGTAGTCTCGTTCACTCCTGGGTATAGCTTGTGATGGTAGTCTCGTTCACTCTTGGGTAGAGTTTGTGATGGAAGTCTCGTTCACTCCTGGCTTAGCTTGTGATGGTAGTCTTGTTCTCTCCTGGGGAGAGCTTGTGATGGTAGTCTTGTTCTCTCCTGTCTAGAGCTTGTGATGGTAGTCTTGTTCTGCTTGTGATGGTAGTCTTGTTCTCTTCTGGAGAGAGCTTGTGATGATAGTCTTGTTCTCTCCTGGCTAGATCTTGTGATGGTAGTCTTGTTCTCTCCTGGCCAGAGCTTGTGATGGTAGTCTCGTTCTCTCTTGGGTAGAGCTTGTGAGGGAAGTCTCGTTCACTCCTGGCTTGAGCTTTTGATGGTAGTCTTGTTCTCTCCTGGCTTGAGCTTGTGATAGTAGTCTTGTTTTCTCCTAGGTAGAGCTTGTGATGGTAGTCTTGTTCACTCTTGGGTAGAGCTTGTGATGGAAGTCTCGTTCTCTCCTGGCTTGAGCTTGTGATGGTAGTCTCGTTCTCTCTTGGGTAGAGCTTGTGATGGTAGTCTTGTAGTCTTGTTTTCTCCTGGCTAGAGCTTGTGATAGTAGCTTGTGATAGTAGTCTTGTTCTCTCCTGGGTAGAACTTGGGATGGTAGTCTTGTTCTCTCCTGGGTAGAACTTTTGATTGCAGTCTTGTTCTTTCCTGGGTAGAGCTTGTGATGGTAGTCTCGTTCACTCTTGGGTAGAGCTTGTGATGGAAGTCTCGTTCACTCCTGGCTTGAGCTTGTGATGGTAGTCTTGTTCTCTCCTGGGTAGAGCTTGTGATGGTAGTCTTGTTCTCTCCTGGCTAGAGCTTGTGATAGTAGTCTTGTTTTCTCCTAGGTAGAGCTTGTGATGGTAGTCTTGTTCTCTCCTGGCTAGAGCGTGTGATGGTAGTCTTGTGCTCTCCTGTGTAGAACTTGTGATGCTAGTC